TGCTTCATAAGAAGTTTCGGGCTTGAGATATTCATCTGGAGAAATGGGTGTGCTTAAAAGTGCATGGCTTCTTTTGCTTTTCTTGGTTGTCTTTTCCTCTTCTTGTTTCAGGTTTCATCACTGTTATGGTTCACAGCTCTCTGTTAAGTTCTTGAAAGCACCTCCACCTATTTCTAGATTTCACTCAGCCAAGTTTTCCTTTCAAGCTTTTGAGGATGGAAACAGAACTTGTTCAAGCTGCAAATTCCGATGCAAGGTTGAATTCTTTTCTTTTCATATTAGATTACTTTCTATGTGTTGTATGAGATTTGAGTGTTGGAGTCTGCAATAAATACTTGTAACTTATCATTATGGCTTTACTTCCTGTTTACTTTTCTGAATGGCCAAAGACAAATTTTGCGAGTTGTAATTTTTGTTAAATGAATTGTGTTCTCTGCAGCTAGATGACCACTTTGGTGTGGATTGCCATCAAAGAAAAGTTTCCTACTCGAAATTGCTGGATGGGAACCATACACTTGAGGTCTGCGCCAATAGGATGCCTGGATTTGGCTGCAATATCTATAACTGGACTGTTGGTAAAGAAACTCTGATTCTCTTGCTCAAATATTTATTTGTCTGAAATAGATCAGAGTTGTTTGGCTTCTCTTTGTTGCAGACTACACAGTTTCTTGTGTCAAAATCCAGTTATTTAGTGCTTGAATGCGTTGGATTATAGACTTTCCTTTTTCTTATATATTAACCTGTAAGATTATTATGTATGCAGACACGGTTTCTCCTACAGCCTTGGTAACTGCATCAATGCCATTTACAAGTGCAGAAAACGTGACTGTTAATATTACGTTTACTGAGCCATGTGCTGGTGAAGGAGGTTTCAGATGTTCATCTGTGAATGCATGTGACGTGAGTACGTAACCTTGTTTACATTCATCACTAAAGTTCTATCTTCTTGTTCTATACTACTAATTAACACAGTTAAAAACTGATGTAACAGCTTCTTGTCTATGGTGCTGGCCAAGTTATACCATCTTCATTGACGGTTCTCGAAAATTATCTCAGATACTCACTTCTTGTGGGATTATCACCTGATTCTCAATATGGAAGGCTTGTGTTGGTGATGGACAAGAGTGTCTGTTCTGACACAGCTGGTAACAGTTTCAAACGAGCTTTGGCTTCGCGCTTCTTTGTCCATTTTGGTCAGTCTCTTTTACCCTTTTTATATTCATATGGTTTTGTGTTTTAAAGGGATACTGATTTACAACATTCTTGGCATATCTAAGATAGGAGAAACGTTTTTGTCAACCTAAGAACTCATGTCCCGGAGAAGTTACTGAAACTAAACAACCAAACCAGGACAGTGCAGGCAACCAATGATAACGAAAAGCTGAATGTCTACTTGTATTTCTCTGAACCGGTACTGAATTCTTCAGCTGAGATTCTTAAGCTACTAAGTACAAACCATGGTGGTTTGGTTCCTATTGATGGAAAAACAAACGGGAATCGCCGGTTTGCGTTTATGGTTTGTGCTTCTACTGCTTTCTTCTTATCATTCTATTTCTTGCTGATCTCTTAATGTAACACGTTCACACTCTTTGTTATTTCAGGTCACAAATACGTCACAGCGTGCTATAGTCACGGTGACCCTTGACTCAAATTCAATAAGAAGCAGACATGGAACACCTGCATCTCCAACTGCACCACTCACTTTTCTTTACGGTGCGCAAGTGATGATACATTTGTGTTTCTTAAATCTTGTTTTTTGCTTCTCCCCTTTAAATAAAAATGTATGATCATGATCTTAGACACGGAGAGACCATATGTTGTATTGAACACAACATCTGGTATGAGGACAAGAAAGCACACCATCCCTGTTTGGATAAAATTCATGAAGCCAGTGTTTGGGTTTAACTCCTCACTTGTATCCATCTCTGGTGGATATCTTGTTAGGTTAGTGGTGGTCTTATGTTTCTACTAAATTCTTGTTTTTTTTTTCCTTTAAGTTTTGATGCTAAGTGATTTTTGTGTTTCCTTTAAATGACAGCTTTGAGGAACTGAGTGGAAGCATATACATTGTATATGTAAAAGCCAATACTAGTACAATCTCTGTTAAGATTCCTGAAAATGTTACTCAGGATGTCGCAGGAAACAAGAATCTTGAATCCAACATTCTAGAAGTGACACATTGTAAGCATATCAACCATGTTGTATCTGTAATTTGTTTTCTCTACCAATGTTTTACAAATATTTGTAACTTAATTGCAGATTCTGTGCCAATGATATCTTCTGTGGTTTCTTGGATATCAACTTACATATTCTTGGTGACATCTTTTGTGGCCGGGCTCCTCACTCTTTCAACCACAAGCCTTTATTCTCTTGGAGCATTTCCAAGACCATCTCCATATCTGATATCAGATCCCACAAGGAATCTTTTCGTATGAGTTTTTAGTCCTTTTTTCTAATTGTTTTTGGTGAGTGTCATGCAAATCACATAACTAACAAATAATATTATGTGCTTTGTGGTTTCCAATGGCAGAGAACTGCTTGTTACATTCAGTTTTTTGCACTCACGAGATGGCTACCGGTGACATTACCTGTTGGTTACTATGAATTTGTGAGACGCATTCAGTGGATAATCCCTTACTTTCCTCTCCCATGGGAAACTAAGCACAGTGAACAGATCATGGTGGCCACAAGTCCTTTCATTGGTCCACATTCCTTCATCTCCAAAACTTATCACAACGACATAAATCTGCAGACATCATCAACCAAGGCTGAGCCAGTGTTTGGATTGCCACTTACCGCAATGGAGTATAGATTATTCTTTGAGGTAGAGAAAGGATAGCTTCTTGTTTCTTGAAGCTCCTTTTGTACTCTTTTGTTCTATGTTTTGATACTGTATGAATGTTTACAGACCCCAAATCTTAAACCAGAAGCAGAACACGTTTTGGGTCTACCGCATCCAACAGTGTAAGTCATTACAGTCCACGTTTGTACTTATTATTTCTTCTAATGCACGTTTCATTGCAGCATTGATTTTATTTGAAATGTTATTCTTTCTTATATTATAGGTGGAGAGATTTTAATAGGATCATGTTTTGGATTGCCATAATTGGAGGCAGTTTAGTTCTACTTCATATAATCCTCTCTCTGATACTTAAGTTCAAGAGAGTACACAATGAGAAGAAGAGGAGCTTCGGTGCGTTTGTCTTCCCAAGATTCGAACTCTTTCTTCTCATCCTTGCCCTACCCTCAATATGCAAAGCTGCAAGGAGCCTTATACAAGGTACTACTGTATTTGTTAATACCAGCCAAGAAAATCTCTGTTTAATTTTGCAAAACCAATGTTAACAACACTTGCACTTCTTTCTCAGGCTACTTTAAACATCAAGAAGCTGCAGAAGCCAATGTTGTTGTTGGTATCCTTGTGCTATGCATAGTGGCTATTCTCCTTTTGGCTTTGTTTCTGTTCCTCTCGGTGGGGATAACTTTTGGGAAGCTTTTACAGTACAAAGAGATTCATCAAGAAGGCCAGAATTTTCACTGGTACCAAGAACTCATCAGAGTGACACTTGGCCCTGGTAAAAGAGGCCAATGGACATGGAAAAGAGAAGACAATTCTATCTATCTAACTAGGTTAGGTCCGGTTTTCGAAGATCTAAGGGGTCCACCAAAGTACATGCTCACACAGATTTCAGGAAGCAAGCAGCGAGATGACCGCATCATTGCATCAGATGATGAAACAGAAGATGCTGAAGCTCCTTGCATACAGAAACTGTTTGGTATCCTTAGGATTTACTACACGTTTCTCGAAACCGTGAAGAGGGTGTGTTTAGGGATCATTGCTGGGGCTTTCTTGGACAACGAGACTTCGAAAACTCCTATAGTGGTCTTGTTGAGCATCACTTCCTTTCAGCTCTTCTTTCTTGTTCTGAAGAAGCCTTTCATCAAGAAAAAAGTACAGCTTGTTGAGATCCTCTCAATAGCATGCCAAGTCGGTGTATTCGCCTCGTGTCTAGTGCTCTTGGCCAAAGACTTTCCAGAGGCAAGCGGAGAGAAGCTTGGGATATTCATGGTCATACTGTTCTTGATCGGCTTCATGACACAGATGTGCAACGAATGGTACTCACTGTACAAACAGACAAAGAGGTTAGACCAGATCAACAGATCATTCTTGAGCGGTCTCAAGATGTTTGTCATTGGGATTGCCGCGTTAGTCTTGCCTCAGAAACTGATGAAGAGCAAGATCCCTGCGGCTCAACTAGAAGTAAGAAGCAGCAGCAGCAATGGAGGGATTGCTTTCTCAACACCAGAGAACAGGTACATAAATTCTTCTGGAAGCCGAAGCTCGGGTAGCTTGGACAAGCCATGGTTGAGACAGATACGAGAAATGGCAAAGGCTAGCTTCACGAGGGACAGGAGCAACAGTAAGGTCCCCAGTGATCCTTCAGGGAGCAAGAGTGGTTGGAGCAGTAGTATATGGGGAACAAAGACAAGTGGAAGCTCTTCTAAAGACTCATCTTCAGACTACAAATCAAGACCTAAAGGACTTTACAAAGATTTAGAAGCCATTTTTGCTTCCAAGTGAACAAATATCGATGTCATATTATTATCTGGTTTTAAATAAATTCGAAGCTGTTGTATTGTACTCTTGAGTATTACCTAGATACATTTTATTTTAAGTTTTCACTGTATTTTTTTTTTTGTGTTGATACCAAGAATGAGACCGTATACATAATTAAAGACAATGACATGAAAACAGTTTTCACATCTGTTATAGAAAACTGCCCCTGAAGGGTTGCAGAGCTTCAAGCTCTATGGAAAAGGAGTGAGGATTGTTTAATAACAGCACCAACATCTTCTTCTAATACCTAATCTTATTCTACACTGTCCGAAACTAAAGACAGGAAACACAAGAACGGATAGTGTCCAAACAGTTACAACGTATGGTACATTGGAAAATTTGAGAAACTCACATTGATATATATATATATGTCAATGGCTGCTCATGAAGAAGAAGAAGAGCTAGGCATGGAACTAATCTTTTGTAGAAGAGCCGTGATGTCGCTTTTCAGTTTTGACTTGGTCTCTCTTGATAAATGATCCCCGGATTTATCCAGCATTGCAGTCATCATCAACAGATTCTGCTTCATGGATTCCACACTAATTGGTGCATTCTTCGGTTTCTGTAATGGACTCACGTGGGAGATTACAGGCATCCTTGGAGCTATGTTCCTGTATACGTTTATCAGTTTCTGCTGTAACCTGAAACTCACTAAGTTGTCACCAAATGGGTTAGCTTTGTCTAAGCTTTTAACTGCTTCCACAGCGTCGCCGCTACTCACAAAGGCAACCTCCGCACCGCTAAGATCTTCATAGAGATGTGTTTCTGAAGCATCCAAAGGGCCAAACGCGGAGAATGTAGAGGTAAGGTCTTCCTTTGAAGGCATCGACTCTTTTGAGGAAAATTTCAAGACAAGAATTGTGATTCCTCTGGTTGTTGCTCTGTTAGGCATCTCCTCTTTCTTCCTACGTCTCCTGCGTTGAGTAGTCTCACCTTGAGGCTGAACCGAAGCTGGCTCTTTAGTTGTTCCGTTCAAGTCAGGTATACCATTAGTGGTATGTGCAACTTTTGGAACCTCTTCTGGATTCTTCCTCTTCCTTCCTCTCTTCTTCTTCTCTGGAACAGTGACTTTAGCGCAAAGGTCTGCGCTCGTGAACTTTCTTTCCAAATCTGTCAGGCTGGAAACAAAACCCGTTCCGTAGTTTGAACACGGAGCTGCTGCTGCCGCTTGAAAGTTTAACATCATAGAAAATGGTCTCTCCTTTTGTGGGAGGGCATTGGGAGGAACAAAAGTCTGCGGTTTTTGTAAATGGTCAGCTAAAGAACTGCCTCCACTGTTTAAGTCAGGTACAAGTGTAACAGCAGGCTTGCTGTGCGTATCTGCCACACAAGCTGTCTCGTTCAGAGATAGTAACGATAGTTTTTCTTGGACATCTTTCGCAGACGGCTCATTTGCAACAGAGCTAGAAAAATCTGAGCTACCAGTGGTATCTTTGATCTTTTTCAGCTTCGAGGCCCTCTGATATGTTCGATATTTTTCAGCTGTGATATTTGACACGCAGGCCTTCTGATCAACACCACCAACAAGCTCGATCTTTGACTTCTCTAGGTTCTTCTGCGACTCAAAGCTCTTCTGATCAGTAGTATTAGGAACTGAAACACCACCACTAACCTCGATGTTTGACTTCTCTGAGTTCTTCTGCGACTCAAAGGTCTCCTGATCAGTATTAGGAACTGAAACACCACAGAAAGGCTCAATCTTTGACTTGCCTACATTTCTTGACTTGGAGGTTCTCTTCTCACTACCCTGATTTCCAACTTTAGCTACCATCAAATCGTTCGAACCAGCCATGTTTGCCAACTGCATTCTGTAAGCGTTTTCATCATGAAACACAGACATTCTGAACTTGGAGAAGAACCACTCAAAGAGGCCGACATTTTCAGAACACGTGGAGTCCACAGCAAGCAGCTTGAGTTTAGATACCAAATCAGAAGGAGACGTGTCAACTAAATCGTCTCTGGCAGACACGTTGACAAATTTCCTAAACCATTCTTTCCGAAACTTCCTCTTGATACTAGCTGCTACAATGGATGGAGAACCAACGAACTCACTCTCTTCCATCTTAGAACCATTGAAACTTTTCCTCACCTCGTTTTGGTTCAGTTGATCCATAGGTATCTGCTTATGCCCAGAGTAAGAATAAAACGCTGATAACCTACTCTGCATGACTGTCACCTCAAGTATCCCACCACCACTAGAAGAAACACATTTGGCCAGATTCTTCAGCTGAGTGACAAACTCCTTTGGCTCCAAACGATCTACAGAGAACTCACGCAGAATCAAAGGCTTTGTCTTGCGAGTATTTCCTGGCTTTCTCCCATTCCTTTCAGCCATGCAAGAACAAGTCATCTCAAGCTTCAGCGAGTTCCTCAACAAGGTCATAGCTTCCCCCACGGCAACGAAAAACCCCACATCGTTTCTTTGACTACTCACCAATCTCTCAAAGCTCTCCTTGAAAGGCCTCAACTTAGAAGGTGCGCACCAAGAAACAAGCTGCTGCCCCTCACCAAGACCCCTAACCATGAAACTCTCCTTTGCATCAGCTTTGTAACTAACAACTTCCCCTGGCCACCATTTCTTGGATTTAGTCATGGTCCATACAAGATTCCCAACCAGACACTCCTCCTGAGTTTGGAAACTCCCATTAGATTTACATTCAAAGGCATTGTGGGAACTAGTAGTCCCGGTTAAAGAGGGGCCGCTAAAGTCAACAACAAGTGATATATTTCCACCAGACACTTCAATCTTCCTCACTTTATCATCTTCTTCCATTGATACCACTGCATTAGATTCTTTCTTATCTGGCTTTTCTAAACTCTTCATCTCGCAAAGGAACAACCTTTTCTGCATCAACAACAACACACCATTTGATCCCAAATTAGAAAAAAAAAAAGAAACCATCTTTTATTTGAAAAAAACTTAAATCGAATCTAGGAATATGAAACCCTTTATCGAAATTCTAGAAAAGGATCAAACTTTCCTATTGGAAGTTACCTGCGAGGAGAAAACTGAAAAAAAAATCAGAGAATTGGTTTAGTTTTTCTCAGAGTGACGTCAAGCAATGTGATTCTAGCAACAGAGAATGTGTGGGCGTTGAGATGGAGAGAGAGAGAAGCGTACAAAAGTACTGTACTGTCTTCGGCTTCGTCGTCGTCTGTGAGATTCTTTTCTACGTATTGCTATGCTACTACTCTCTGTCCCATCTCATTTCACTGAGGCAGAGGGTTTATGAATTAAACCGGGATTTATTACCAAAACCGTGCTAACAGTAAACCGGAACAAGTCTCACCGATAAGCACGAGGCTTTCTCTGCCTCGGGATTCGATTCTCCTCCATTTAAGACTAAATATCTGTTTTTATGTTTACTTTCATGAATCATCAATGTGTTCAAGAAAAAAAAATATGTTACTTTCATCAGTTACTTTTTTTTTTCTTTTGAAATTTTAACAAAAGGAAGAACTTTTCTTTTCTTTTGAACTTTTAAACAGAAGGAAGAAAAAAGAGTTTTCAATAGTATTTGTATTATCTTTCTAGAGTTTGATTAGTATATTTAAGTTGAGAAAAAAAAAAGAAGCATCTTTGAACAAAAGAAAAAGATAAGATAGAAGCATCATTCATATACAATAGAAATAAATTAAATCACAAAGACAAACAATAATCAATTGTGAATCTCTACTCTCGTGTTGATTGATAATGAGTATTGATAATGTTAATACTAGCCCTACGGTTTTAAACCGAACCAAATCAAAAATTTTGGTTTTTGGTTCGGTTATGATCTTGATTTCGATTTGATTTAGAATAATTTTGAAAATTAATTTGGTTTTTATTAGGTTTTTGATTTTTTTCAAAATATGAAAAATCAAAAACATCCGAACTGAATTATTCGGAATAACCGAATTTAACCAAAAATATATATTCTTTTAGAAAATTATTTCAAAATCTACCCTAAACAAAAAAAAAATGGGTTAATTCAGAAATTAAAGTTAAAACCAAACAATAACCGAAAGCTAAATCAAACCTAACCGATTTTTTCGTGTCACTTTGGTAAAATTGTGGCTAAACCAAATAAACCAAAACCGAAAATACTCAATCTGAACTCGCAGGGCTAGTTAATACGATTGAAACTTACATACGACCACGAATCTATACATGAATCTTCTAATACAATAAACTAGGTTACACGCTCTTTTCTTATGCGACTGACACTACTCTTACCTTATAAATGTTACTTAATTTTACATGAAATAAAATTTGTTATATAAATTATATTATAAATTGAAAAAGTTCCAAGTAAAAAAAAAAAGTGAATGAATCTAAAAAGGACTCGATTTGATTTATTTAATTGGACTATAATTTTTGTCAACCATGTTGAAATAAAAAGAAGACAAATATGGTTTTATCAATGAAATAAAATATCAAAATGCAATAGAAATATTAATGAGAAATTACAGTTCCTATACACCACTAACTGAATAATTTGCAAGGATGGATTCTAACGTTTCTCGCTGATGTGTTTTTTTTTTATTGTCCATATTACCTTTATTCATTATACAAAATATCTTAAAGTTTAAAACACCTATATCTCTATATTATGCCTGAAAAGAATTGTCATGAGAAAGTTATTTCTCTTTTCACTATAAGCGATATATTCCTTATTTCTAAAACAACAATGTCATCTCTCATCTTTTTCATTCTTATTGTTTATTCCGCTAGACTCTGTACAATTGTAAGTTTTCTCTCATAAAATATTCTGTTGTTTTATCTCTCTCCTCTCTCCTCATTCTCTCATCCGCTCTTTTACAGAAATTTCTTCTCAATTGTTATGTTAAGCGTGAAAAGGTTTGGGAAGAGAAGCATTATTATCGATACATGAATTTGTCTAGAAACCATTTCTTTCATCTCTCCTGTTGGAAATTATGGAGACCACGGAGTTACCATTTCAAATTTTTGCTGCTGGCCACACACATCAGCAATAATATTAACCGGTTATATCAGTTTGTGTTACGACTATGTATTTTGGGAAAAGGTTTTGTAAGATCTCAAATTTATGTATGCAACTTTATTTTCTTTTTGACTCTTGCCATTTGATATATTAACAAGTAATGTTAACTATTGTTACAGATAAGTGTTTTGTAGGATGGATAAGGTTTGTGAAGAATTTCTAAGTTATGTATGCACCCATGTTTTTTTTTTATTCTTGCTATATGGTATATTAACCGACTATGTCAGTTTGTGTTACAGTTATTTGATGTACTAACAAGAAATTTAACTATTATAATGTATAAATGTTTTAAGTGATGGATAATATTATATGTAGCATTAGTGACCTATATCTATTTTGAAATCAAGATCCAAGTTTGTTGACATGAAATTACAGTGCTATTGTTGTTACTCATCACCGGTATGTCACTTGTTTTCGTTACGCTTATCAGTAGATATCTCCTTCCTAGTGGACCAAAGATCTGATATCTTGCATATTTACATACTTTTAATCATCCATTTCATGTTTACATTGATCATTTAGGTGCATTTAGAGTCTGTTTAGGTTGCATTGCATTTGTATTTGTGTGTTGGCAGGTATGGAGAAGTGCTAATCAAACTTAGAGGCTAAATGGGTTCCAAAACGTTGAAAGGAGCAAGAAATGGTGCAGAACTGGGCAAGTACCGCGACCTCAAGGTGCCTGCGAATTGAGACTTCACCGCGGGCAAGTGTCGCGGGCTCACGCAGGCCGCGATCAAGTGTCGAAAACATGGCAGGGATATTTCGCGGGCTACGCCGCGGGAAGAGAAGGTCGCGGTGAGAAGGAGCCTACCGTGGGCTTTTACCGCGGGCAAGAGAAGGTCGCGTAGGAGTGTCGACAAATGTGGCAGTGTTATTTCGCGGGCAGGTGTCGCGGGATGTGAAGACCGCAGTGGAAAAGTGATCACCGCGGGTTTATACCGCGGGCAAGAGATGGTCGCGGCCGTGTAGTGAATCTTAGACCTATAAATATGTGTTAAACTCTTTAATGAATCTTATCTTGTATTTTCTCTCTAAACCTAAGAACTTATTGGTGAAAGATCATAACTTTATCTTCTTTTCATCCTATTTTCATAAGTTTGTTGAGTAATCTTGATCTCTAATCATGTTTAACCAACAATTAATCATTGTTGTTAGGTTAATCATGTGTANAAATATGTGTTAAACTCTTTAATGAATCTTATCTTGTATTTTCTCTCTAAACCTAAGAACTTATTGGTGAAAGATCATAACTTTATCTTCTTTTCATCCTATTTTCATAAGTTTGTTGAGTAATCTTGATCTCTAATCATGTTTAACCAACAATTAATCATTGTTGTTAGGTTAATCATGTGTATTAGTGAGTAGATCCACTTTAGATTCATGGGATAGGTTGGTAAGGGTGATCAAGTGTAGATCTAAGGTGTTAGGTGTTAGATCTCTGTGTTTCCTTGTTAGTTGAGTGATTTTAATGCTTGATTAATGTTGGCCTCTTTAATCATGATCATTTGACTTTAACCACCCATAAGGTGTTTGTTTAAATGTATGAACCAACTCATCTAGCTTTAATACTACCTACCCAATGATCATTTGTATCTAGGGAGTCTTAGATAGTTATTAAACGTAATCCTAATGATTGCTTGAATTAATTAAGCCAATGACCATTTGTGTTTGATTAATGAAAGCAAATGAGCATTTGCCTAGACCTAGGACTTGCTTAGCATTGTTGTTTAGACTTAAGGAAACACTTTGATTGAAAGCTTGCCATTTTTAGATTGAACTTGATCACCTAAACCAAATACATATTCCCATGAGTCTAGCCTTCACTAATTGAGAGAAAGTTTGTTACTTGTTGCATTTTATATTGTTCTTGAATCATTTGACATTCTTAAAACTGATTACATTTATATTAAGCAATGTCTTGCATTCTCTTTGTTCAATAGCTCTTAGGATTGGATTGACACTCTACTTTCCATAATACATTGATTTGCTCTAAGGTGTAAAAAGCCTTATCAAATTTGGCGCTGTTGCGAATTCTAAGTTGCTTTTGACATTGAGGTTTAGTCATTGCTTGAGAGTAAATCTTATTTACTTATTTACTAGTACCAATTATCTATCTTCATCTTTTTCTCTATGGAAGGTACATGAACTTGAGGAGTAGAGGACCAACAAACCTTGTTCCAAGAGTTGATAACATCAGAGCCTTAGAGAGAGAGTTAGCAAGAAGGAGAAGAGAAGAAGAGCAACAAGTTCACTTAGAGAGATTAGGGTTAGTCATGGATCAACATCATAATCAGCCTCAAGATGAAGAAGTTGATGGTCTAAGAGCTGCCAACCTGAGGCCACAACGCCCACAGAGCCAAGCAAGGACCATTGGTACTCATGATCAACCCAACATACATGGTCATAGAGCTGGTATCCGGGCTCCAGCTGTGGTGAATAACAACTTTGAGATCAAGTCCTGCCTGATCAACATGATCCAGCAAAACAAGTACCATGGTCTTTCCTTGGAAGATCCTTTAGACCATTTGCATAACTTTGATCAGCTGTGTAGCACAACCAAGATCAATGGAGTCTCTGAAGATTCCTTCAAGCTGAGGTTGTTTCCTTTCTCTTTAGAAGACAAAGCACATATTTGGGAGAGGAGTCTTTCAAGAGATTCCATTGAAACTTGGGATGATTGCAAGAAGGCTTTCCTTACCAAGTTCTTTTCTACCTCAAGATTTGCCAAGCTAAGGAATGAGATCTCTGGATTCACTCAAAAGAACCTTGAGAACTTTGGAGAAGCATGGGAGAGATTCAATAGCTACATTTCTCAGTGCCCTCATCATGGCTTCAACATGGAG